ATTGTGGAAAATTGAGTTCACATTATACAAACACTATGAAAAATAATAATTCCGTTGTTAATTAAACTCAGTGAGATATCGAATGGCCCATGATAAAAAAATCACTCTGTATTTGTAGATACACGAGTCAAGTTAATCTGCCAAATTTGTATGCATTTTTATGCGATTCTGTTAAACTATATATTCTATGACGTAATGTGTTACATTACCCCCTGACTACCAAGTAATAGGTATACTCAACAATTATGCACAAGGGACAACTCGCATAATAATTTCAAAACCCACACGTGCCATGGACACTCGGTAAAATCAATTTGTTCACAATTAAAACTTTAAGGGCAACGCTCGGTGAAACCTTTTTTAGATATATTCGCCAACATCATGGGCAGCGGTTTGTGTTTAGCCCATGTACTCTTATTTAACCGTATATAAAAAAATAAATATATTTTAATTGAAGCATCGTCGGTGGTCGTGGAATTTTTTTTACAGCTCAAAATAACAATAAATAATTTTAAAAAATCGCCACCACCGTTAGATTTAACGCCACAGGAACCGACGCTCTCCTGGTGCGGCAGCACTTGTCAGTATTATTATTATTATTATTATAGGCTCAAGTATATGGTGGCAGCTGCGGGCGGTGATTTGTGTGAAAACTAGTAATTCTCGTGTCGGCTGAAGAAATAACCGCGAACACGTATTAATTGTCGTGCGTTACCCCAGGCCATCGTTGGTTTTTGCTACATCGAAACAAAGGCACTTAAATCATGTCTGCAAAATGCCACCTCTGACCTCTTACATATTTTGTAACACAGTCAAAACCACCGATTTCAAAAATATACATCTATCGTTAGTCTTTATTACACCTGTTACGCATATTTAAGGCCTACCCGACAACCTATATTACCAAAGCATCTTGTTCATCGCAGTAAATCTAATAATAACACGCCCAAAAAGGGACCTTTGATAGATAATGATCAAGAGATGCGGATGACGCTTACGATCAACTCATCGACTACATGATAATATTGTATTATAGGCAACAAAAAAGTAGATAATAAAATGCAATATCACTTTTTAACCACCCCGAAAGTTATCGTTATCTCTTGTGGTAAACGCTTAAACACTTACCATACATACCGACCATTTCGCGAGGAGATCTTCTTTACGGATAATAAACTGCTCTTTCATTTTTCCTATGGTCTACCCTTTTAATATTCTATAGTAGCCTATTCAAATAATAAATCCTTAGAATTTGAAACCCCTAGCTTAACTCTATGCTAGCCCTCATAATTTTTTATGCATTTTATTAAAATAAGATATTCTAATTTTTCATTAAAAAAATTCTACTTAGAAAACTGCAAACAACATTTTTTCAATTTGAAAAATATTCTTAAATCTAAAACATGACACTTATAGTAGTGATAAGTTTTTTAGCAAGTTATCAAGTTTTATGATTTGCAATAGACTATAACATCATAAAAACAATTTTTATCCCGAAACATGAAGTGAGTAATTTATTGTAAATTTGTTATCTTTAAGAATCGTTTTTCAAATTGAAATTTTCCATCAATTGCAAAAAAAAATTTCTGAAGGAATTAATTAGGGTTGAGCTTGGGATCTGAAATTTAAGAGATTTCTTATTTAAATACGCTACTTTTGATTGCGGGAAGGTGTAAGTAAATCATTTTTTTTTTAGACATTTTATTCCATAATGTGTTATACAATTATGGAGACGAAATTATTAAGTGCGTTGAACGTATAAACTATAAAATTGATTTAAAACTTACATTGATGCCACGATTGTTTATTCTTACAAAATAACTTTACAATGTACTTATTTCAAAATATAACTTGCGCGGGGTATTTACTCCTAACGAAAAGGTAATCAACTTTTTTTTTAAGAATTTAAAAGGTAAATATAATTTGACTAAATTGATATTTCCATCTCAACTGTCTCTAAATACAATTTGGCTGTTTGAGAATGAAATGGCATATTTATTTAGCAAAATGAACGTAAAAACTCTTAGTGTAACAAGACAGAATTTAAAAAAAAACGAAAGAGAAAATTATACTACGGTTCTGTCTCATCTTGCAAATACACAACATATTATGTATAACAGGATGTATTTACATACTGTAATAAATAATGCCGTTATATAGAAGTGAACCAAAGTTCAACCAGGCGAATTCAATATACGAGTGTCGTTTAGGCGAATTGAGATAGATCAATAGAATGAAATTAGACGGGACTTGGCGAAGAATATGAAATCAAAAGAAATGTTAGGCTAATCAAAATTCCTATTCAATTTTCCCCTTTCTTTCCAATATACTTTCAATTAATGTTGAGTCACATACCTGAGTGAAAATAAAGTGACGGGTTTCGGTTAAGTTTCTTTTAATTTCTCTTAGATCGCCAACCGTTGTACTTTGCTAGTGGAGACGTACTTGTTTATAAATGATATATCGACATTGATGTTCCTATCAGCTCCACGGTGAACTATTTACCGTCTCATCGGGCCATTTAAACGGTTCCTTTTAGTTACATAATGTGTTGCATGTTGTGATTTTGTGAACACAACATGTTATCTCGTTTGGTTTAAACGTGAATAATTTACACTTAATATGTATATTTGCAATTTGTTTTTAAAGTAAATCATAATATTTTCTAATAGCGTTTTTATACTATTTTTAATTTAAAAAAAATCGTCTTTAAACTTGGTCTTCAACATCTCTACCATTTAGGTCATGCCCTGTAAATGCAAATCATGATGATTGTCGACTTACAATATTTACATGTACAACGAAGTCATTCAAATGTAGTATTTACTTTGTTAAATAAATATTAGGCAACGAAAATTTAAAAATATGGAATAACGTGTAGTACGAGTACAGTTACTATAGTGTAGACGTGTATTGTATTTCAACACAGTTGTGCACACTTATTTAAATTCATAAACAATAAGTAGATAACACATAAACGGGCTGTTGCATTGTTTAAATCAGATTACAACTAGTTTTAACTTTTGTTTATTGTAAAATGATGTTTCAAGATAACGACGTACACTGCGAACAATATTATTTATAAGCTGTGTATTGTTTAGTCATTGGTTTGTTAGACACAAAGAATAGAAAAATCTACCATTCAAGTTCTTCCTTCTAAGTTTCCAAAAAGAAACCAAATAATATGGATATAATGTTGGTGAAAAACCGCTGTAGATTTTCATTGAAATACTATTCGTCTTTGTTTAAAAGAATACATCGTATGTTAATTAAATTCTTGTATACAGGATGTCCCAAAAAGACATATCCATGTCCAAAAAACAAAAATGAATACATATTATATTTATACACTATACATAAATCTATGGCCCTGTATTCCATGACAAGGAGCAAAAATAGAAAAGGCGGTCAAATGAGAAACTACAGAATTTGTTTTATATACAAACAAGAGGATATAGTGCAGTTTGTAAGAAGTTCAATACTTGCTTGGGCTGGTGGCAGATGGCTCTCTTATTAAGATGGTAATGGTAATTACAACAAATCGGAAAAGACCACGGGGACGCCCAAGACAAAGATGACTTTATGTGGTTAAAAAACACCTGAAGGAGTTAAAACCGGATGGGAACGGAAACTTGGACATAGCTTACGCATGAGAAATATGGGGTGAATTGGTTTCAGAAGCAAAGAGCCTGAATAGCTCATAAAAGCTTTAAAATATGTATATATCCTAGCTGTCTGTGTACCCGGCTTCGCTCGGGTTAAGAAATACAATTGCAATAAAGTACTCACAAATTATACACCTATGTATATTTTTTATTTGCTTAAGTTTTATGATGACTTAGAATAGATTGTAAAAATGAAGGCATTATTCATATGAGTACTAAAATGTTGAATTAACTAATAGGTATTTATTTAAAAAACTATTACAAAATTATAATTTAATATACTTTCCAACTTTGTTAAATTGTGTTACCAGCGATTGTTTATTTAAATTGTTGCTGACTCTAATAATTTCAACTCTTTTAACAAATAAACGACCGAAACAAACTATCTATTTATTCAGTAATTATACTTCATCAACTTTAAAATTTCATCAACTTATATGTTTTGTACATTAGTATTGGTCTACACTGCAACCAATTGCGGCGTTATAACGGAATGCAGCCCGATGAGTATTCAACGCAACACTTGTTTGTCTTCGTGCACGATTATTCAAATTCATTGTCACGCGTTTGGTTTCAAAATTAAAATGAGAGACTAAAATGGGCAACTATGTAAACTATGAAATGTGGAACTATATCTTTTTTGATCAGAATTCAGAAACTATGAATAAATATAATAAGTCAAACTGTCCATATGTCAGCTGAATAGCTGTCAGATGTGATATTTGCGCACATAGCGCCATCTATTGGAATAAACTTTCACAAAAATGAAAAAATTTCCAATTTTTCCGGGCAACTTTTCCAATTTTTTTTTCCGGAAAAACTTATTCGGACTATTACGAACATTAAAAAAAATGAGTCAAATCGGTCCAGCCAATCTCAAGTGATGCGATCACCAACGAACATTTCATTTTTATATATATATATAGATATACTAATAAATGATTAGATTTAAACTTACGATATCAAAATATACGAGTTTTTACAATAATAAGCTGTGTTGTCGGAGTCCCCGACAACACAGTTCATATAAAATACAATATTATTGCCAGCTAAGTGCATTGCGTGCCATGAATAAGTAAAGTGATATTATATTATTTGCACGCGATATCATACGACAGTATTGATTATAATTACTATAAAAATATAATTTGTCCAAAGATAAGTTAAATGTATTTAGGCAGCTGGCAGCACATTAATTTTAATTTGGTGAAATTAGTTGAAAATAAAAAATGACCAACGCGATCATGCGAAAACGCAGTGAAACATAAGGTCGTTTTTTGACGTAACGTTACAATAAATTACATTAACATTGTGCTCGTTTTTGTTTGTTTCCAGGTTCCGTCAAGGGTTCAAGCAGTTTTTTTCGTTCGTGCCGTGTATTAATGTCAGAACCGGAAGCCTGATACGACGGGAAGTTGTCACCAGCAGGTACAGCTATAGCGGATCCCCGGACGCCCACTATCGGATAGTGCGCAACGGTAAATTAGAAAACCCGGAAGTCTAAGCGCTGTGTGTGCTGGTATAGAGGACAGAGGGTAGGAGATTAATCGCCCTTCAACAGTTATGACATTTTGGGCTGCAAGTCTGCAATTAGGGCTATCGGGTCAATTACAATTTTACTCGTACATTAAAGCAGTACTGATTACTCGCCTGAACATCTTGATTACAGCCGCCGACGAATATATTATCAAGTACATGTTACGCTGATTTAATCAATTTTTAAAAAACTTGAGTCAATATGTCGGGATTTCTTAAACTATTAGTTACTTAAGTATAATTAACAAAAAATCAATACATTTTAATTCTTATAATTTAATTTAATTGTAATTGCTCTCGAAATTTAATTGACCAAACAATAATTTAAAAAATAAACATTACTCATATGAAGGAAAACTATAAAGATTTTATTACTTTAACACGTACGCACTTATATTTTTCTTATTAAGCTATAGTTAAAAAGTTTTTATTAATAAATAACTAAAACAATTGATTTTTAATTTTTAATGATTTTTTCACTATTTATAAACCAAAAAAACTTTTTGGCTTCACTTGTTTTAGATAATAAATCAACTAAATAATAATAAATCCACTATTTTAGTCACTAGTACTTTTATAAATTCATCTGTAAAATATATTTTAAATTACAATTTTATTCTGTAAATAATTGTATCTGTTTATCGGTGAAATCTATGAAAGGTTTTTTAATAAACTAGCCGCAGAAATACATCATTTTGTTAACCCCATAAAAGAGCAAATGAAATTAAATCTGGTGTAGTTCCGCTTTTCTTAAAATAGTTGCTTTGTTATTTTTCATTTTCTCGTTGCGCAGTCTACAAAGACTACAACATTATAAGACTTAGGACTTCATGAAATCGTAACGATATTGTTATCATGTAATGAAAATCGGTATCGGTACGGAAGTCGGAACTTCTAACGAATTTTCCCGCTATTCTTTTACAGAAAAAATCCTAAATATTTTTTATAAATTCGAAAAAAATCATGCTGTAAACTAGATCGTTGTTCCAGTTTATATACAACAATAAATTTAGTTTTCCTAATTGTCTATTTTTTTTTATTTTCATGTCTAAAAAAAATGTATTTCTTTTTACTCCTATATAAGAACACAATATTAAACATTTATATATATTAATGTAACGGACAAAGTTCGACACCTATATTCGCTTATCAGGTTAATAACTAAATTGACATTTGTAACCTAAATTTGGTAATTTTGAAATTTTAAAAGAATACTAAAACATTTTCGATATAATAGCGCATTATTGACTGGTTTTTCAGATTTTATCAGTGGCGTAACGACTGTCGAGTGTCGACCATTTTACACCATATTAATTAAATCTTTTATATCTTTAGATATAAGGGTGTATTTGTATGGTTACGCCACTAGATAAGATCACTCTATATTATTACTACCTATAATAGCTGCTGAAGTCCACTAAATCCAATATTAACACAACTTTAACGTGTGTAATATATTATTATGTCGCGAAATGAGGAATGTTATATTATTCTAATGTAACTATACTTATCCGGAAATATAACATCATATAATACCATGCTACGTTTAAGATTTATCGTATCTTATGTCGGTGGTTTAAATATATAAGAGAAGATATGTATGGCGACTATAATATCATGCAATGGTTAACGAGGTTTAAGTATACGTTTATGGATTCACAATTCTAGTTTTCAGACCATTTTCGAAAGTTTGCAACTCGTTACAAATAACAGCGGTGTAATAGAATAGAAATGAAAACATTTTGCCAATATTATATCGAGGCTTAGAAACTGAAAATTGGATTTGGCTAATAAAACAACAACTTAAGGTCATGCTAAAATAATTTTTTTTTTATTAATTATTATGTTGGTGTAAACTGTTACGAGATTTAAATGTATTTTATTATTAGCAAGTTGTCACTTCAAAATATTGTTATAAATAATTGATAAAATATCTAAAATCGTTCGTTGTATCTAAAATTCCTCAAAGCGTTCACTTTTGGTATTTCACGTAACATATACTTATTCGTGATGGTATTTGATATTAAATAGCTTTATATACTGTACTCTATGTTTTCGAGTTTGCCAATTACACAGTTCAAAAAATGTTTTGTATATAATCGCTATTGTTGTTTGTTGCATTATTTGGAATCGTTTTCCCTACAAAATGCCTAATAACAGGTACGCGCGCAAATATTTCTCTCTTTAGGGTCCAACTATGTGAACGAGATTATTTTTTTAAAAACCTCTCAGTATTTAACTTTCTAAATTGTACAATAGTACTGAAACATTTAAAAATTCCAAGGTAAACAAAAATTCTACTGATAATAAATAAAAATATAGATTTAAATAAACTTGAGTATAAAATAATAATTACATCCAATATTATTATCAGGAAATCATAATTTGTTTAGAGTAGCACATGCAGCTCAATACGGATATATTAAAGTGTAGTGTTTAGTAGCACTAACTAATAACCATAATAATATAATATTTATGACAGAAATACGGTTTCTACGATATGCTACACTTTATTCTGAGCTACTCAATTTATTATGTACCTACAGCATATGAAACGGAGATTGAAAATGCGCTTCGCCGAGGTGTACATTTATCGCGCAGACCTCCTGGCAACATTGTCTTGTGTCGTTGCAAAAACAAATTGAAAGAGAAGAAGAGTGCAACGCATTAGTGTCGTTAACGCACTAATGCCGTCGATGACAACAAGAGAAATGAGAATAGAATACCACAATGCAATGGAACCCCAGGAACGTAGACAAACATCGTCGGTAGATCTTATATTATGGAGACGCGTTATAATATTTACTATACTTATATGTTTAGTATATTATTATTCGCTCGAATAAGCACGCAAATACATATAGAAGTGACCGCGAAATTTGAAAAACAATTCACGTCTCTCGCGTATTCGCCCTGAGCACCTTTAAGATGCTTTTTTTCCCTGCCGTTTATTTTATGTCGCGGCCTGTGCCTTATCATTTGTAAACGAAACATCATATTATTACTACCGCAAGCCGATTCCACCTCCCTATTCGTACGATCCTATATGTCCCAGGTTTTTTCCACTTCGTCCTCACCTCATATGCAGTCTCAGTACAACCAAGTAAAATGATAAATGGTATGCGCCATCGGCGGCGGGCCGGAAAAAACACACACACACATATTTCATATTACACAAACAAATAATAATAAAATAGAAATAAAGAATTCGCGGACCAACATTTATCTCTTTTCATGTGATGGTAAATTTATTTGCTTCATGCCGACGGTTCGTAAAAGAAATTTTTAGTAGTATCAAAACAAAAAAATAACGCACAAAACAAATGGAATATAGGTGGTTTTTTATTTAATTTAGTAAGCCCATGAGTTAGATGGGAGTAGGTTAAAAATTGTCAAAACGAAGAGTTGATACTAAATATTAGAATGTTGACCAATATAAGTGTATTTATCGGAATATGATTGTTGGACCAATCCATTGTTCGTGTTTTGTAAAAATTCAACCCTAATAAAAGCTTAGATACTGAAGGACTCCTCAAGAGCAAAGTCAACACGCAAAAGATTAAACAATTTAAGCCTACAGAACTTATGATGCTGTTTTTCGATAGCTGTAGTATCGGCCACTTACAGAAAAGGTTTTAAGCAGGGTTACTTATCGGCCTTATCGAAAAGACAACAAGCACATCTACGTCGATACGGTTGCTAGGGAAAACAGGGTCCGATTCGTCAAGCTTCTTTGTCTTCGAATCAAATTGTCACTGTGTATCCGCTCCTGAGCAAATCCGGATGAATGTGACTATTTTCAGATCTTTAACTCTACCCTTGACTGTTAAAACAATATTTCATGGACGGGAACGCATAATAAACGCTGTATTATGTCTTTCTCACAAAAAAACGACAAATTATAATCGTACGTGTCATTATAATATGTCATTAGAATAGTGTCTACTTTGCAAAGATCAGTTGAATACCGTTAAAGCATTTAGGTCATACTTAACAGTTCATTAAACATACTTTAATAACCCGTATGCCCGTGTTCAACATTTTTCGTGTGAATGCGGGTCAATTTATTGATTCCGTTTTGATGGTCTTTCTAGAAATAATTGTTCATTCTTAAAGCTAAAATTATTTTTAAAAAACAAAATCTCTTCTCACTCTTGTTTATTTCGTCGAGCAGACACTTATTAAATTTAAAATTAAATTATATTACATCTTATATTATATGCAAATATTCCAATACAAATTTAATTTTAATAAAAAATTTAATATTTATACCTTCACTTTATTTTTTAAATGTTTCTGTTATAAAATTAGCCATTTCAGATGTCATTGAATCAAATAAATTAGTTACTTTTAGGTCCTTTTCAATTATATTATAATTTTATTTTTATATTATATTCTACTTGCGATATTAAACAAAAGTCGGGGAAGTATAAAATAATGACAATGGCATAATATTGTAAAAGGAAAATTCTAAATCACATAAACACTTCTACATGAAAAAATATTATCAAACCAATTACGTTTTTATTTTTACCTTTCATTCAAAACTTTCTAGTGTAAACGGTCTCATTTATCATCTTCAAATTTCATAATGCTGGTTCGGACGCTTTTTACCAAAATATATATTTTTAACACGTGAATATATTAAATTAAAAGTATTTTATAAATAATATATAATTTGTATTCCTGCCCTAATTTTATTTTATAATTATAAAAACAATTTAAAATATAAAGGTCGGCTTTTCCTGTCACTAGCGACTAATGGGCGGAGACCTAGATTCTGAATTGATTTATGATTTCTTTGATTATATTTTTTATGATAGTTATTTATGTTAGAATAATTTTTAAAATAAAATAAACATTCTGATGCTTTATCAACTCTCTTTAAACAG